TTCATCTTAAGGATGGCATTATGAATCTTAATGGGAGAGATTATATATTTTCCAAAGCCATTGGAGATGCAGAATGGTGAAGAATTGCTTCTTTTCTTTTATAAATAAAACAAAGAAACTTGAAAAAAATTTGAAGTGGACAGTTTGAAACTTGGGACATACACCAACCAAAACTTCATTTCTGCATGTCAGAAAAATACAGTAGAAGCAAAGCTACTGGAACAAAGATAGACCTTGACAACATAGACACTACTTCTAACTGGCAAGCCATGGAACTGTAGCACCTGAGGTTGTTGGGGTGGGGGTGGGGTTTTGTGTGGGAAAACCATAATTGTCAATTTTAAATACAGGTACCTGCCACCGGTAATTAGCATGTAAAGCTTTGTCTGTATTTCCTTCCTCCAACTTGGGTTCAATCAGAAGATACTTGTTGGAATGAACTGAAGAAACTTCCCTTTTGATAGATTGAACTGAGACTGCTTATTGTATGTGGTTATATTTGGTAAAAATTGCGTGTGAGCTTTTTACAAAAGGGTAAGAATTATGGTGTTGAATTTTAATTCACTTGTATAAGAAAACAATTTAAAACTCTCAAAATAGGTCTTAAATATTTTTACTTGCTATTCTCCCTCAGTAATATATACCTCTTCCTTTCCTGCTTTATGAAACACCAATTTAAGGTTTAAAGGAAGTAACCAGTGATCATAGGTTTGGAGACAAAATTTGACCCAGGAATGGATATTTATTTTAATTAGGTTTTCATCCTTATTAAATGTAATTTAAAGACTTAGGTCTTATCTGAATTGAGTGGAATTAAAATGACAACTTTAATTTCCTTACAGAAAAACTGTGTTTGTTTCTTTTAGTCCCACACCTTGAAAAGAAACCCCAAATTGGCTCTTCAGGAACACAGTTTTATTTCACAAAGGTACCATCTAGCTGAAAGACATATGAATATATGAGTACATGTAGATTTTTCCTGCTGGGCTGAAGTGCGTGCTTATATATGTGTTTAGTCTCTAAGCTAAACATTCAGATAACATTCTGTGCATTGATTAAAGCATAGGGCAGGTGGTGAGGACCTGGATTTTTATTAAACAATTTAGAAATTATAAAAGTTTCTTGTGTTTACTAGTAAAGAATTTTTTAAAAAGCTATTATTCTAATTGAACAAATTTTTAAAAGCAACTTTGTAATTTGAGGGGGAAATTTGGGGGGTAGTGGGGTGTGGGCCACTAAGTACATAGTTACCTCTCTTTCCTTTGGTGGCCTTTCCAGGTCATTGATAATATAGACATGGGCTCCAGTTTGCACATTGGGAAGAAAGCATAGAAATTTGACTTGTATATTAAAAATAATAGAAATTTAACATGTATATTAAGAATGCAACGTATTCTGTAAGGGGCTCTAAAGAACAATATGGCAGTTCAGTGTGAATTAGCTGCCTGGGAGAACTGCAGGAACACTTGTCTTCACCTTTGTGTTCTTGTAACTAATTTGACTTTCTGTGTTTTTATCTTGACAAAATTTACATGTGTTTAAGTTACTCGTATATTGATTTTTTTTTTTTAGTCTTCA